ATCACCCCTCGACCTGGCGAGCTGGCGCCATTCACACCACAGACTACTCCACAAGCGGGTTCCCATCGCAGTACACGGAGAAACACCGCCTGTGCGACGCGGATGAACTAAACGGATGTTCCCCCACCAAAAACCTGCCGTGTGTCGAAGACAACAACATTACACGCCGCCAAGCATCCCAGCAACGGAAGAGACGCACTCCCATCTAGGCAACAGCGACTCCTCATACACAAACGAGGTGTGTGAAGCCTCATGTTAACAAGGGTGTGATAGTGTGGGCGTGTGTGCCTTTTTTTTTCCCCGATATAGAGGAGGAGAAAGCCCCTGCCGGTCGGTGTGTGTGTGTTGTTGTGTGTGTGTGTGTGTGTGTGTGTGTGTGTGTGTGTGTGTGTGTGTGTGTGTGTGTGTGTGTGTGTGTGTGTGTGTGTGTGTGTGTGTGTGTGTGTGTTGGGGGGGGGAGTGTGGTTTGATCCCGGCCACAGACACAAAGCACAGCCACAAGCAAGTGCGAAACACTTTTGTCTTCCACCACCACCTCCGCCACCAGCGCACCTCTGCAAAGAGAATGTATGCGAGCGCATTACGGAGTGCACAGTAGTCGTTGCGGATGTTGAGGAAGCGCGGGTTGTCGTGGTTGTCGAGGAACAGCGCGAGTACGGAGATGTCGGTGAAGGTGGAGCGCTGCTGCTGGAGGGAATCGTGGATCATGGACGCGCTCTGGCCCTCTTGGAACACCTGTGCACGCGAACGGAGAAACATGGGGAGGGGGGCGTGGGAGAGAGAGGATGTGTATGTGAGCGAGAGTGTGAGTTTGAGTGAATGAGATGAAGGGGATGAAACCAGATGCACACACACACACACATGCACACATTTACATACGCAGACACATGCACACATTCACATACGCACAGACACATGCACACATTCACAAGCAGTTGACTGACGTGACGAAGGGTCCAGTACATGGGGTAGTTGAGGGTTGCATCAAGTGCGCCCTGGAACTGCGCATTCAGCGCCGGGTCTCCGTTGTCGACTTCGCCAACCGTGTACTGCTCTGTCATGGCGGCGGTGACGGTGGCAAGGGCAGGGAGGACAATGGCGATGGTGGTGAGAGGTGTGTATCTGAAGAGCAGAGTACGAGCGCATCCATGCACCTGAATACACACTCACTCTCTCACTAACTCACTCACTCACACACAAGAGCACACACACACACACACGCGCGCGCACACACACACACGCACACACACACACACACACACACACACACACACAAGAGCACACACAGACACAAGAGCACACACACACACACACACCCAGACGCACTGATTGGGGCGGCGTATGCCTTCCAGATGTCGACGGGGACTTCGAGGACAGTGTCGAAGCGAAGGCCGTCAATGTTGTAGCGGTTGATCACATCCAGCACCCAGTTCTGCAGCGTCGTCGCCACGAAGCTGTTCTCCTGCGCAAGGTCTGGCAGGTTCGCCAGCCGGCAGTACTGGATCTGTGGCGTGTGTGCGTGCGTACGTGTGTGTGTGTGTGTGTGTGTGTGTGTGTGTGTGTGTGTGTGTGTGTGTGTGTGTGTGTGTGTGTGTGTGTGTGTGTGTGTGTGTGTGTGTGTGTGTGTGTGTGTGTGTGTGTGTGTGTGTGTGTGTACGCACACCGTGGGTGGGATCAAGTGTGGATGCACTTCATATGTGTGCTATGAAGGCCGCATACACACAGCCAAAGTTCACCCCCTTCCCCTCTCGTGGTGTACCTGGTGCATGTCTGTCCAGTCTTGGATCTGGCAATACGAGTGGTAGTGTGACGAGTCATTGAAGGGATAGAACATGGAGAAGTCGTTCAGCTTGCCGTTGTCCTGTCGCCGTGGGAGAAGGACGTGTGTGACGCCAACGTATGCATTAACACACGCGCAGCGTGAGCGCATGAAAACGCGGTGAGTGCCCGAAAAAACCTCCACTCAAAACAACAGCGTACTCGTAAGCCGCGCGTGCCTCCCCTCCTCCACACATTCCTCGGGTTCGCCAACAACAAAACCTAGCACACGTCTGTGGAGCAGATCAGGGGCAACACGGACCTGGTTTCCCATGTGGTTGATGACGACATCGAGCATGACCCAGATGTCCATCTGCTGCAGCTGGTTGATCATCTGTGTGAGCTGATCGCCGGTCCCGTAGTTTGGGTTCAGATTGTAGATGTTCTTCTGCCAGTATCCTACAAAGCACATATTTTGTGTGTTTGTGTGTGTGTGTGGGGGGGGGGAGGCCATCAGACATGAAGACCATTGTGATATCATGTCGCGTGAGTGCGCGAAGGGAGAGACAGAAACTGTGTGTGTGTGTGTGTGCGTGTGTGTGTGTGTGTGTGTGTGTGTGTGTGTGTGTGTGTGTGTGTGTGTGTGTGTGTGTGTGTGTGTGTGCAATCATGGCAGCCTTGCACAAAACAAGGGCAATGAATAGATGCAGGTAAATGCGGGTGCATCAAGCGCAAAGATGTTCAGAGCGCCTGACATGAGTCCCATTCACGCACATCCACAGACGTACGCACCGTGGTAGCCGTTGTCTGTGTTCTCTGGGATGGGCGAGATCCATAAGGCATTGGCGCCCAGCTGCTTGATGTATTGGGCCATGCGAGCCGTCCCGTTCCAAGTGCCTCCACAGTATGACTGCAAGTTGTTGCATGGCGCTGTGCTACCACTGGACGATTGTGCAAAGCGGTCCGTCAGGATCTGTCAAAGAAGGGCATTTGTATTGTGTGTTTGCGTGTGGTTGTGTGTGGTTGTGTGTGTGTGTGTGTGCGAATTTGTGGTATTAGTGGCATTAGCGGTGTTCATGTGTTCATGTGTGTGTGTTCATGTGTGTGTGTGTGTGTGTGTAATGTGTCACAGCCATTCGAGCAACGGAGCTGTGACAACAGCCAACATTAGCCACTCAACAGCCAACCTTTCCACTTGCCTCCCTGTGACCCTCCCCCCCCCCCCCAACACACAGACACTCAAACAAACACTCTCAATTACACTCACACTCGGCCAGAGCCCACGGGAAAAGATGCCAGAAAGCCTTCCACCCCTTGTGCAGTGTGTGGATGCCCACTCTAACACACACAAACGCCAAGGCCGGCGAAAGAACCCACGAGACATTTTTTGGCCGTCCTCCAGAGGCTGGGGAAGTCAAATCTGCCCTTTGGCCTCCGAGCCCAGTTTTACCCTTACACCACGTGGGGTGGAGAAAAGAAAAAAAGAGGGGAA